AGACAGAGACATTTTGGAGTTCCCAGGAGAGGTTTTTTTTGGAGTCGCCACTCAAATTAACCCCTATGCCCAGGCACTGAACCAGCCCCCTTTGTGTATCCCAGAGTCTAAAAGAAGAAGGCCTGGTCCCTCAAGGGTCAAAGGGGCCTTAGGAATGTGGGATGATGGTACTCCAGCCAGCGTCCGGAGAATCCTTGCAGCCTGGAGGCAGCTGTGCCTATAAAACGGGAAGAGAACTCCTGTCCCAGCAGAAGTCACTCTGCGTCAGCGCCCCAACAGGTAGCGGCAGGAGACGGGAGTGGGGGGCTTCTTGCTTCCTCTGTGCCTACAGGAGGGGGGACAGGAGCGTGGTGCACCCTGAACTGGGAACAGCAGGGGGGATGCATCCGGTACATACATCACGGGGTGTTCTCTGGCTGCTGGCCAGATCACAGGGCAACACTGAGAAGTTCTACAGGCGGACAAGGCAATAGGGGAGGGAAAGGCATTACAGGCTGCGGGAAGAACGTGTACAGGGGCTCAGAGGAGTGAAAACTGCCCAGCGAGTTGGGGGAAGACAGTGTCCGTCGCTGGAATATGCGCTGAAAACAGACCAGATCGTGAAGGGTCCTGAACGCCAACTTGTTGCTGGCTCGCCCCGCAGACGCAGGTTAAGTCCGGATCCTGACTCCGCCTCCACGTCCGTTTCTTGGCTGCAGCCCGTTAGCCCCGCCCCCAAGGCCCCGCCCCGGCCCCTCCTGTCGCGGGGCGGCCGGTTGTTATGACAACTAGACGCCAACGGCCTCCCCGGTCAGGCTTTAAATTCTAAAGCTCGGAAACAGGAAAACCCCTCGCCCGTCCTCCCATCCACCCTCAGGTCCTGTTTCCTCCCATCCAACTCCCAGCATTTATCTCCGCAGTTGCGGCAGGCCGGAGGCCACTCACCTTCGGCCTCGGCCTCTTTCTCCCCTCCCCGCGCGGTCCTGACAGGGCTATAAACAGTCTCCAGGGCGTCCCTCCGGTCGCTTTTGCCCCCTTCGGCCGCGGCGCAACTACTGAGGCTGTCGCCGCCTTCGGAATCCCCCCTCAGCAGAGTCTTACCTTACTGGACTCAACCGCTTTTTGCCCCCGGCTCCTCTTTCGGGACTTGGCGCGTCCTGCCTCTCTTGCAACAGGATTGGTTCCCCTGGCTGGGGGCGGCGGTGCAGGACGAATGCTCTCTGCTCATTGGCTACTTTCGGCGTCACACAGCGAGCCGGGCGAGCGGACCGGAAGGTCCGGGTGCGGGTCCGGCGAATTCCACAGCGCTGGGCGCTGCCCCGGGGACCCGTGAGCGTCCCGGCGTGCTCCGCGCCTCCGGCAACCACTTCCGGGGCGTGCGCGGGGCCGTGGGGTCCGGGCGCTGCG